GATGCCATCTGGGAATGCTGCCCCTCCTCCTCGGCCCAGCCCTTTCCCGGGGGTCCCGCGGGGGCTCTGCTCGTCCCCCTCCAGCCTTCTGGGATGGGTGCACACAGCGGCGAGCTGGTTTCCCCCTCCCTTAATCCCTGATGGTTCCCAGCCCCTGGTGGGCTGGCCGGGAAAGAGCAGGGCTTGATGTTTTCTTCCGCCGTTTTAGCAAACATGTCCTGACCGAAGACATCGTGCACCGGGAGGTGACACCGGACCACAAGCTGCTGTCGCGGCGGCTCCTGACCAAGACCAACCGGATGCCGCGCTGGGCAGAGCGCTTCTTCCCAGCTAACGTCGCCCACTCCGTCTACATCCTGGAGGACTCTATCGTGGACCCCAAGAACCAGACCATGACCACGTTCACCTGGAACATCAACCACGCCCGTCTCATGGTAAGTGCCGCGGGAAGGCACAGGGGGGTGGAGGGGGCCCAGCAGTGCCTATAGCCGGGCTGTGCCTCCTACAGGTGGTGGAGGAGCGGTGCGTGTACCGGGTGAACCCGGAGAACAGCAACTGGACCGAGGTCAAGCGAGAGGCCTGGGTATCCTCCAGCCTGTTTGGTGTCTCGCGGGCCATCCAGGTGAGCACTGCTCGAGCTGCACTGTGTGCCCCCCTAAAGCTCCTGCTCCCCCTTTCTCTACCCATTCCTTGTGATGGTTTTTACACCCTTTCCCCTTGTTCCCCCAGCCCTCATGAGCTCTTCGGGCACCCAGAACCATCACTGTCAAAGTCATTGTTTGTGACTTCTCAAGCTGGGACAAAAGCCCCAGAGGCTGTGTGTGACAGGTGGAGCTGGGCTTGCACCTTCACTGACTTTTCCCTTGCAGGAGTTTGGTCTGGCCAGGTTCAAAAGCAACGTGACCAAGAGCACTAAGGGATTTGAATACGTGCTAGCAAGAATGCAAGGTGGGCACCAGGGGCAGGCTGGGGCTGACCGGGACGGGTCTCTTGGAGTTAGAGGTCACACTGGGAACACTCCAGTCCATGGGCAGGTCGCAGCTTGAACTGATCTGACTGTGAAATCCTCCTCCCTTACCTTTGCCCCATGCCTTGGCACAGCCTGCCCTTCCTGAGCGGAGCAGCAGGCCAGTGATTGCAAGGCCAGGCAGGGGTGGAGTGCAGTGCAGGCAGGACGGGATGTGACAGGGCAGCAGTGACGTGCCTGCGGTTCCCCTTTGCAACGTGCCCTGACGTGCCGAGGTCAGGAGCACCAGGCTCATCTGCGTGGGGAAGTGCCTTGGTGCCGAGGCGGCTGGGCAGGTCTGGCTGGCACTCCAGTGCCGGGGCAGGGCTGAGTTAACAGCTTCCGTGTTATAGGAGAAGCTCCATCCAAAACACTGGTGGAGACTGCCAAGGAAGCGACCGAGAAAGCCAAGGAGACAGCTCTGGCTGCTACAGAGAAAGCCAAGGACCTGGCGAGCAAGGCAGCCACCAAGAAGAAGCAGTACGTGTGAGGGGCCAGCTGCACCAGGACAGATAGAAATCTCCTTAGATTTTATATTTTTAAAGAAACTGTACAAGTCTGACAATCAGCTGCTGTTAGACCCTTTCTGAGATGTAATTATCATTAAAGAATCTACTCCCACCTCTGATTTGACTGGGACTGGCCTGGCTAGAGCGGAGCCCAGTGCTGCCCTCCACTCTGGGGGTCCAGCCTGCTGCCGGGATCACAGGGAAAACACAGGCCAGGATTTTACCAAGTGCCTTTACTATAAAAGTGTGGGGTCTGTACAAAAGAGCGGGGTGCCTGTGGGAGCATGAAGACAGATTGCTTAATGCACTTGTTTCCCCTTTCTGTCTCTCCAGGGGCGGGACAGCCGTCCTGTAGCCATGTCTGCAGTGAGCAGCACTGCCACATGCCTGGCGGTGCACAGGGGGAGGCGTGAGGGTTTCCCCATGACAGCTGGGCCCTCTTCCAGTGCCTCTCCCAGTGCTTTGCAGTGCACTCACAGTGGGTGCCTGGCGGTGCCAGCCCTGTGCACCCAGTGCCACAGCCAGTGCTGCCCAGCAGTCCAGCTGCTGGGGGCCAAGCTGGGTGCTCACCCCCACCTGTGGCCCCTTATCCTGGCTGTGATGAGGCCGGGGAGGCTGCATTTCCAGCAGGAAGGAGGCAGGCAGGCAGTGCAGGGAAGGCAGTGGGCACTGTCAGGATTCCGGGCTGTGGAGGCTGGAGTAGCTGTGGTCCCTCCCGGTGCCGAAGGCGTGCAGCAGGTCCCCACCGAACACCACACCATCCACCTCTACCTCGGCATCCTCTGGGCACCGGGAGGGGGGGAGCCCAAGTCAGGACCCCAGCTGCTTTTCCTTTCCTGCCCACCCTCCATCCTTCGCCTCCCTTACCTCCCTCGGAGGGCTCTGAGAGCTGGGATGAGTCTAGGCTGTCAGCCCGTGCCCGTTCCCCGTCGGT